GGCTTATATGGTTGGTTAATTAAGTGGCTAAATGATAACACCAAATAACCAGGTTGCAGTCTTTTTTTCTTCTATTCTTTGTTAGTTTATCCTCATACTAGTTCACCTTGTGTTCCCAATGTAGCCACTAAAATTCCAGGAAAAAATGCTGGAAAAAGTGTCTCCTAGAAGTAGGACTAATTTTCTCATTGTTTCATTCTCACTGAGGAAATCTTTTTCTTGGAGCCCTAACAGGTCTTGTCTCATGCCTTTATTATTGGAAATGATACATCTATTCTATTTCTGTCAAAGCAAATGCACTTGAATCATGTGAACTGGAGTGAACTAGTCTTGCTAACCATGTCTACTAGCAAGAATGAAAGACATAAGGGCTATTGAGTAAGCATCCAGTGGCCCCAAAGTCCATAGGTACTCTTTAATTTTTTTAACTAGGCAAAGAACTTTATTAATCTTTTCTTCAAACGTTTTTCCCAGCCTTCTTCAGCTTAACTAACTGCAAAGAATAAATCATATATAAGCAAAAAAAAAAAAGAGTTGCAGTGTCCAAAGGGCTTGGATTTAAAAATATTAGAGATCTAGATTTTATCGGGTATATAAAAACAATTTTTAAAAGCAGTCATAATATAAAATAGCAGCCCCCAGTTTCTTCGTCCAGGTTTTATCTTTTTCGGAAGTTGACTCAATTTGGTTTGCCTCATTTGTGGAAGCCTCATCAAAATTCTCCACAAGTTCTCGAACCCTATCATCATCCTGCTCTCCAGTAGCAAGTGGTGTGTTTCCGTCCACAGGTTGTTTAGGCAGAGCTTTAGTCCATCTCCTTAAACTAATCAGACTGTCTGCTCCAAGCTGGTTTAACATACTAGGTAGCATTTTTGTCAGCTGTTTCATCTCAACATGGCCTGTAATGGTGAGAGTATACACTACCAGACGTGCCTGAACCTTAGGTTTGTTGCCATGGATCATTGTTCCTTTGTTTGTAAACACAGTCACCTCTTCAATACCAGATATATTGTTTAGCCCTAACTTACCCCAGTTAAGAGAACTGAAGTTTTTCTATCGTCTGTTACAGCTGTTCTGTGAACCACTTTTTGTTTCTTTCGCAAAAATTCACACTTGTGCCTGCATTTTGATGACCTTTTCCTGGCTCACGATAGTTTTATCTTGTTGGAGCAGAGATGGAGCAGTACAGGGGACTCAGGGCTAGGTGGGTGAATAAATTGATGTTAAGATCTCAGCTCTGGGGCTGGGGATTTAGCTCAGCGGCATAAGCGCCTGCCTTGCAAGCAGGCAGTTGTGAGTTTGATCCCTGGTACCGATAAAAATGAAAAAGACCAAAAAAAAAAAAAAAAAAAAAAAGGAAAGATAAGATCTCAGCTCAAAAAAGTAGCTCAGGGCATTTCTGGTAGACCATCTGCGTTAGGCGTGCACTCACAAAAAGAGACACACACACACACACACACACACACACACACACACGGATGCAAGATGTCGCCTAGAGCAGGTACTCTTCTTTGTATAGATGAAGAACATGAATCTCAACAGTAAGTAACTTTCCCAGGCTCACAGTGAGTAAGGAAGGCTGTCAATCTTAGCTTCGTCTGACCCTGAGGTACATGTTTTATATTGTTTGCCACAATACAAAGTACTTACTTTCTATCTTGCAAAAAATGCCAGTGGAGGCTGTCCTTTTATAATGAAGTGTTTGTCTGTTTGAGACAAGGTCTCACCCTCCAGACCAGGCCATCCTTATATGCATGGTCCTCTTGTTTCAGCCTTGAGTGCTAGGCACTATCTTTCCTGAAGGCACTGCCTTTCTCTAATGACCACTAGTATTGATCAACATAGCTTAATAGCTATGTTGAGGTCTTTGTTTTTTTGTGCTGGAGATCGAACTCAAGGCCTCACACTTGTAGGTAGGCACTTACGCTGCTAAGCTAAATCCCCAGCCCCGATATCATCTTTGTTAAATCATAGCATCTTTTATTCAAAATTTTCTTCCAATCTGTGGTTTACCTTTTTATTTTGAGGAGCAAATGTTTTCAATTTTCATGTCTAATTTATTGATTTAAAGTTCAATTTACGGGGCTGGAGGTTTAGCTCAGCGGCATAAGCGCCTGCCTTGTAAGCAGGCAGTCATGAGTTCGATCCCCGGTACCGATAAAAAGTAAAAAAAAAGACAAAAAAAAATTGTAAAAAAAAAAAATTAAGTTCAACTTACTATCTTTTACTTTTTTAGTTTGTAATTTGAGGGTCATATTTTAAGAAATTTTAGGGTTGGGGTTTTAGCTCAGTGATATAACTGCCTGCTTGGCAAAACTTGTCGTGAATTCAATCCCAGGTAACAACAACGACAAAAAATTTACACTGGATATATGGTGGCTGCTGAGCACTCAGCATTAAGAAAGCACTGATTTCTCAGCATCTGAGATTTTATACTGTTCTTCTGAGAACAGTGTGACCAGGCATAAGGTCAGAATTTCTACCTGCTTCCTGAGCCCTGTTCTTGAAGCTCATTTATTCACCCATCTGTCCAACACACTGAATGCTGTTGTGTTCTAGGCACTTGCACTTTTGGGCACTGAAGCTACAGTGGTTAACATTACAAACTCTCTGCTCTGCCCTTAAGAGCAGACTCACTTGTGAATAAGTTATCCAGAATAGGCCTTTTGGTCAGGAGAGATCCTTATACATCTTAGCCTTTGGCACAGTCTTCCAATTCTTTTGGTTTCCTACCTCCCAAAGGTTTTTTTTTTTTTTTTGTCTTTTTCCTTTTTATTGGTACCGGGGATCAAACTCACGACTGCCTGCCTGGCAGGCGCTTATGCCATGAGCTAAATCCCCAGCCCCAAAGAGTTTTACCTCCTACAATTCATGAGTCTTTCACATGGGCTTAGTCTAAAGTAGGGTTTCAAACAGTAATAGGTAGGAACCCATCATAGGCATCTGTTAGATTAGAATGATTCAGAGGGTCCAAGCCCTACTCATCAATGTTGAAAATAAAGACAGTAGCCCACTTGGAGAATTCATCACCATCATTATGTCTCTTCTGAGGGTAGCTAAATACGCTAGAATTCATATTGGGACTATGTGAATTAGTGGGGTAGAAAGTCTGTTATACCTTGCATAAGAGCTGGCGTTTACCCTGTCAAACCCTGTTAACCAAGATTGGGATCATTTAAGATGCAGTGTGTAGTGGCATTTGATTTGTTTTTTTCCAACCTGGAGAGGATATTTTCAGTTTCAGGTGAGGATGGAAAGAAAAGGCAGAATTGAAGTCATGTGGTTTGAACACCCCTCCATTTATTAAAACTGTTAAATGGGGACTGGGATTTAGCTCAATTGCATAAGTGCCTGCCTGGCAAGTGCCAGGTTGTGAGTTTGATCCCCCTGTACCTCCCCCCCGAAAAAAGGAAAAAATTATATGATAGCATAATCTAATAAATCCATTACATTTTAACAATAGCAATTTTGTTCATTAATATTTAGGGAAAGTTTTCTTCGTGCTTTACAGACATTCCTTATTCTTACAGCAACTCTGTAAGGTACATGTTCTTCCCATTTTTCAGATAAGAGACACCAAGTGACTAAAATCCCACATTGAGTCGGGGGAAATTAAATAGAATAGTTTTTCTTTTTGCTTTAAAAATGTATTTTGGGGGCTGGGGATTTAGCTCAGCGGCATAACCACCTGCCTTGCAAGCAGGCAGTCATGAGTTCGATCCTCGGTACCGATAAAAAAAGGAAAAAGACAAAAAAAAAAAAAAGTATTTTGATGTAGAAAACTTTGTAAACACTATTTATAAACATTGTAAACACCAGGGGCACCGAGAAAAATCATGAATCATTGTTCAGCCTGCATAAAGTAGTATCAAATATCACTAAGGCAAGAGATATCTTTGAAGGCACTATTTGTCAACGATGTGCTGGAGTTTCCTCATAAAACTTAAACATTCTAGTGGGGACATGGACAGTGAAGTAAGTTGTCACCAAACTACTGACTTCAAGAAGGGTTATCGAGGAAATAATAAAAGGTGCCCCACCACAGACTGGTGGCCCCTGAAAGGCTGCTGACCTGGCTTACAGAAATGTAGGAAAAGAAGCACCTGGCATTGAGAGTGAGAAGAGACAATTCCTGGCCAAAGGATCCAAAACTGGCCTCCTAGTCAGTAAAGCGAAGAGCTTGGTGTCGTGCTGGGGGCACTGGAAGTCCGACTACTTTGGCCACAGCGTGGTCATCAGGACGAGAAGAAAGCTGGAGCCGCTTTATGAGGGCCACCCTAACACAAGAAAGGTGGGTTTTTCAGGATGACAAGGCCCTATTAAAGTTTTAAACACAGAAACCATTTCATAATGTTTGTGTAATGCCTTCTTTTTTATGCCGGGTAACAGGGATAGAACGCAGGATTTTCCCACTAAACTACATACCCAGCCTTTTTCAAAAAAATCTGAAGCGGAGTCTCGCTAAATTAATTGGCCGGATTTGGCTGGAACTAGCGATTATAGACACGTGCTGCCACGCCCAGAAATGTCCTGTTCCTTTAATTGTGTCCAAACTATATTTTGCATTCCCCTCCCTCAAAAGAAAAACAAAGTCGTTAAACAACTCTAACGGGTTGGAGGTACCAATTCCAGTGGCGTGAAGCTGCTCAGGCGGGCGTGGCGAGGGCGGCTGGGGAGGGAGAGGGGGCCGGGCCGGCGGACTCCGCTCCGGGCTCCGGGCAATCCCCAGCCAATCCAGGTGAAAGATGCTCTCCAGGAAAGCGCTGCGGGCTCGGACCGGCAGCAACCCGCACAAAGCCCGAGCCTCCCGGGATCTTCTGGGGCCGACGCCCCCGTGCGCGCGCCCGCTCCTGCCGTTTCCCCAGCGTCCTCCGCGCGGGTCGCGCTCGCACCACCGCGCTCCCGCAAGGCTCCGGCCCAGAGGCGAGGCGTGGACTCCGCGCGAGCCGGGCGGCGGAACTGACGCCGGCGGGCTTCCGGGACGGCTCCGAGGGGAGCGGCGGTGGTGGCGGCGGCGTCTGCTGCTTCTTGCTGTCGAAGAGGGTGGGGGAGCGCGGCAGCGGCAGCGGGCTACGCAAGTTCCGCGGGGGCTCCCCTCTCCTCGCCGGCGGCGTCTCCTCGCTCTCGCGCGGCGCGGGGCCGTCTCCCGGCGGCGACTCTTCCGGCCGAGCGCGCCGAGTGCGGTTCTGAGGGGAGCCGCATCGCCCCAGCCTCGGGGCCGCCCTGCCGCCGCCTCGCTTGGGTGGCGGGTGCCGTTCTCACCCGAAGCTCCGTCCCCAGCTCCATGAATGGAAATCGGCTCAGCAGGTGAGTCGGGGCTGCTGGGCCGGGGGCGCAGGGTGTCACCCCGCGCTTGTCGCCTGGGCTTGGTCGATCGCTCGCGCGGGCCCAGGGGCGCGCGGGGCGGGCGTCGCAGGTTTCCTGCCCCGCCGCCGGCCTCCCCGCAACCCCGCCGCAGTTCCCCCGGGGCCATGGCACTGGCGAAAGGGCCGCGAAGGGCTTCACTTAGGAGTCCTCTAGGCGGTACAGTATTACTGTACGCCTCCCCAGCCCCTGCCGCCGCCGCTTTTCTTCTAGGAGAGAGGAGTTTGCCATCGCTTTTGTTATCCGGGTCGAGATACAACATGCGTGTCCTTTGGCCGGGTGGTGTGCCCAGTAGAGGGGTGGCCTGCTTCTTGGAGTAGCGGTGAAGATGCGCTGAGATAACGGATGCGATTAAGTTTGAAGTAGGTGTTAGTGCTGCGTCAAATAAAATTGCCTTCACCCCCGGGTTCTCCTGTGTTTGTTGTCGCAGCGTGGTGTATAGTTTCCGAGGAGCTTGGAAATGTCTCCTCATCGGCCTAGACCACTGCTTGTATGAGGAGATGGATCTTAAAATTACTGATAGTGTCTTTTCATTAGCTATTCCTAGACGAAGCAATTGTAATATTCCTGAAATTTGGAATTTAGGAAAATGTTTTCTCTTCTGAGGCTGTCTTTAGGAAAATTGAAACATTGTACTTGTCTTAAGGAAAGAAAAGGAAGGGCTGGGGATGTAGCTCAGGGGTAGAGCACTTGTCTGGCATGCACAAGGCCTAGATTCAATCCTTAGTACAAGCAGAAAAGAGAAAGTACTCTTTAGACATAAAATGGGCTTTACATAACGGTTCGCTTAGCAGGTCATTATGCTCCTATGATGTACTTTAACGTACGTTTCATCCAGCTGACCACTGATTTGTCATTTTCAAAATATTTGGAAGTGGGATGTCTTGTTACTATAGCATCGCAAGTCTTTGAATTTCATGTTTGCCAATTTTAGAGGTAAACATAAGAAAAATTATGTAAAATAAAGTAGTGACTTGAGAACTTTGTTGAATAGGATAAGCAGTATAACTGTCAAGTGGATACAGAAAAGCACTCAAAAATTGTGAGTGGAGAAACGGACAGGGCAGTTTCTTGCAAGTTTTATTGCACGGAATGTTCTCTACTCAATTTCTACCATTTCTCTTGTTGCGCCCTACTTTTTGCCTTCTTTGTATTTTTGTTTGTTTGTTTGTATCGGTACTGGGGATCGAACTCACGAATGCCTGCTTGCGAGGCAGGCGCATATGCCGCTGAGCTAAATCCCCAGCCCCTCTTCTTTGTATTTATTAGAAACAGAAATTTGTTTGGATTATAAAGGCTCACTTACTGTAGATTTGTGTATTTCCAAAACTATCCTGCTTTTTAAAAGTTTTCTGCCATAGAATTTGTTCTTACTGTTATGTAATTGTCCAATTGTTGTCAGTCCTGGAAAACTAAACACGGAAGTTAAACTTTTTATTGATCATGCTGAACTTTTTTTTTTTTATCATGCTGAAACTTTTGAGGATTTTTTTTTTTTTTTTTTTTAATCGGTACCGGGGATCGAACTCACGACTGCCTGCTTGCAAGGCAGGCGCTTATGCCGCTGAGCTAAATCCCCAGCCCCAATTTGAGGATATTTCAAAGACATTTTAGATATTTTTCTTTTGTTTGGGATTTTCATACGAAGATATGACCTTAAATGTACAGGGAACATCCTGGAAAATACACATAACGTCAAACCACCAGTCAGTCAACTGATAGAGCCAGTTGAAGTATGGCTCAGAAAATAGGTTTTATCTTTTCTTTTTCTTTCGAGGTCTTTTGTTGTGAAAACATATTCATTTGCTTGTCTTCACATTGAGAAAGTATTGTTAGATAATTCTATCAGCCATATCCTTGGCTATCTTGCAAGGTAAGGTACATTCTTGAGTGCAGTTTGTGTGATGACAGTCGTCTAATAGTGAAGATAACCTATAAGATTCTGTATTTCATTCTTCTTGGCACTAATTGCTAAACTGAATGTAGTTGAAAGCTGTGTGCAACTAAATTTTAAATTTAGAATTTGACAGATATTTCAATTAAAAATGTTTTAGATAAAATTTTTTTCTAAAATCTATTGGATTAATATTGCATCTTGGCTGTTTGTTATTTTTCTTTTGGATGGAAACTCCAGGAATCATGATGGGATGTTTTAAATTCTGATTGCTACATGGCTACATAGGAAACTTAATTTAATACATTACAGGACTTCAAATACAAATATCATGTGATTGTTTCTAGGTGAACAATCCTACTAAAAGTTGGTATTTGTCCATCCCTCACTTCTTCCCGGTGTGGGGATTGAACCCAGAACCTTTGCACTGATCTTCCTGCCCAGTCTTTTATTTTTGTTTTTGATTTTGTTCTTGTTTTTGTTCTTACTTTTGTTTTTATTTTTATTTTAGACTGTGTCTCACTAAGCATAAATTTTGGGGACTTGAACTTGAGATCTTTCTGCCTCAGCTTTCCAGAATGCTCCGATTATACTAGTAGGTGTGTGCCATGACACCAGGCTTCTGTTCTTTTTCACATGAAATACTTTAAATTTGTTCTGTATAATCTACTGGTTTAGAACCATCTGAGCTTTGATTTAGCCAAAAAAGATGTATATTTATTTAAAAAATAATAATAGTTTAGGATCTGTGCTTAAACTATTAGTTAAGGGAAGTTATGAGAAACCCGATTCTTTCTTTTTTTTTTTTTTATCAGTACCGGAGATCGAACACACAACTGCCTGCTTGCAATGCAGGCGCTTATGCCGCTGAGTTAAATCCCCAGCCCCGAGAAACCCTATTCTTTTATGGTCTAATTACAGCTGAACTGAGGATAGATTATGTTTTATTTCCAAATAAAATAGGAGTAGGGGCAGTAGGAATGTTCATTTAGCTACCATTTCTCCTGAAGACCTTTTTTTTTTTTTTGTTTAGGAATATAGTCTATATTTTTAGATATATTCAGTCTATTGTTTAGGGAGAAATTATACTTAACAATGGAAGAAAAACATTTGCTATAAATTAGTGACATACAAATTTATTTGAAAAGTTTAGTAGTTTTATACAGTCATGTAAAAGTGAATAGACTTTCTTAAATATTTAAATTTATTTTTGAATAATTTTAAAGTTCTACATTTCTTAAATAATAAACATCAAAAAAGGTCAGTTGGCAACACTTGAAGGATCAAGAATGGCATTCTGATGAGGACAACAGTTGCAGAGTCAAAACGCTAAAATATATAGTTACAGGTTCTCAGTTTAGTGTTTAAAACAAATTATTACTTTCAAAATGTCTATATTGTTATATAAATTTTGTCTTGAGGAAAAGAGTGTCAACTGGTACTCCACTGTGTGAGTATGAACTTGGAAATTTAAGGGGTTTTTTGTTGGATTAGTGCTTAAGTTTTAACTTGTGTTGTTTTGGAGTAGCCCTGGTAGCTTGTTGCTTGTTATTATTTGCTGCCTGAGATGGTCCTGTTACTTTATAAATGTGCATGCTTATGTTGTTTTTGTTTTAGAATTTAATTTCTTTCAGTGATGGAATGCCCTGAGGGAAAACTGAAAAGGAATCAAGAAGCATCTTTTTTCTTTTAAACAAAGACTAAAAAGAAGGAAGAAAAAGTAACCTTTAAATGTAATTTGATTAAAACAAAGACGTTTAAACTAGTATGGATTATTCCATCACTCTGTATAACCTTTATAACCTGTATAACTCTTTACATTTTTAAATCAACTTCTGAGCTAATTTATTTATAAAAAATAAGGAATTAAATTATTTAAGGAAAGCATTGCAAATGAATGAAAAGATATGTAGATGCTTCTTCATTTTTCTTTGGAAGATTTTTATGAAATAAATAGGTAATTTAGAATTTACTTATACTATATAACTTTGTGTATTCATTGAGAACATTACATTTGTTTGGCTCCATAAACCTGGACTAACAATATATAGCAAGGCCTGGGGCCCTGAAAAGGGGGCATTTCCTGGAAGAGTTCAGTGTTGTCTATGGAAAAACCCTAGCTCAGAGACAAATTCTTGCCAGATCTTCTTAAACTGTTGGATTCTAGTTGAATACCCCTTTGCTTTATAATGCAATCATTTAGTTACATTAGTTTCTATATTGTTAAAGTACTTGAGGGTCTACTTGCAAAATGAATTAAAAACAGTGTTATTAATCTAAAAAGCGTATTCTCTTACAGTTACAGTACTTACCTAAAACTAGGACCTTTTTTTTTTTTTTTTTTTTTTTTTACTGTATAGCCCAGCAGATAAAACTAGGACCTTAAAAAAGTAATTTATAAATCTTGGTTTTCTTTTTTTTAAGCAGATAGAAGGAAAAAAAAAAAAGCTCAAAGTGATGGTTCTATTTTCAGGAGGGTAAAACTAAAATGATAATTTAAGATCAGTCTCTTTCCTAGGCCTGTTTAGTTTCAGAATGTTGGGATAAACAGTATTTACCAGACATTCCTAGTGTCTAATTCAGTTGTCCAGGATACTCAATAGACCCTCATTCTTGGCCTATTAACAAAACAGATGTGAGAAAGAATATTGTGTGGTTTTTTCAACCATAATGGTTATGCTGTTAGTATACAAGAACAGTCTTTCTGTATTTGGAGTTTTTGCAGTTTTCTGCCATTATCTGTGTTAATATTAATGACTTTCTTTAGCCAGCTACTGCTTAAAGAAAAAAAAAGACTATTGAGATTCAGCAAAACCTTGTCACACAACTAATGCATTCTTTTATGTGGGCTTTCTGTGGTTTTGTTACAATAAAAAATTACGTGCATTTGTTTGGGATGTCAGTTTAATAAAATAATCTGAAAGAACTCTGTATCAGTCAGTTATTTTATATGTTATTTCCAAATTGTTACACTCTTAGGAAATTAAAAAGGATTGTAGAATAGACATGAAATACTTTCTGGTTTTTCATAAGTGAAAGAAAATTTTGT